AGATACAGAGGAGAGATAACAGTGAATGAAAACACAAGTTAATACTCTCAGCTAGAAACTGCTGTTAAACAAACCTTCACATTGTTGTTTGTAGTTCATGATAAACACTGTGTGCAGGACTTGATGTGCATTAAAAGGTATAAATACTTAATAATTCTACTTCAAATATGAGCATACTACAAATAAAACAAAAAAAATAAACCAATCATTTCTATTAAATTAAAAACAACAATCTAAAAGTAAACTGGAACTGAAATGTATTGTCCAAAAATAAACAAAAAAATGTAAAACATAAAACTGAAACCTTCTTACGCCTATAATGAACTACTATTTTGTTTATAGATAGTGTTAACAAGTGTGGCTAATCTACACCTCCTAGTGGTTCGTTTCCTACCAGAGAGGAACCTTCATTCACTCTCCACAGACCATCTTTACTAATGATTATGAAGAGGAGGATAAAATCCATCCTATCAGAATAGCACTCTTTCTCGATACAGTATGTTTTGTTAACACAAGATAAATGGATTTAATAAAGTTGGAGTCAAATTAAGCCAAAATGACAGCACAAACCTAATATTACAGTATAGCCTGAGAAATACAATTTTGAAAGTTCCACATGGGGAGAATACAAAACCAGAGTGTAGCTTTACTTTTATATCATTTTAAACTTAATGCCACATAACTATTAGCCTGTTATATAACAAATGAATCAAACGCCTCTATTATATGCTCCAGTGTTTCATGATGCTTACCTGTTGTATCCGGGAAGTTGTCAGAGTGCCTGGGGTTCTTGCTGCGGTGGGTGTTTCCACGCTTCAGTACCAGATCCACAATGCTAGAGAAAGGCCCGTCACCGACCTGGTTGGAGGCAGAGATTTTCACCAGGTAGACGTTCCCCGGCTCCAGCTTCTCCAGCAGGGCCATGGTGTGGCTTCCTGTGAACAGAAGCAGAAACAAAGCACAGGGATTAGAAATACCGAAAACTGATACAGGTGCACTTAATGTTGCATAAATAACTGTATATAGCATGAATAATAGTTTTACAGCTCACCATGACAGAGTACAGCTAAAGCTGGAGAGCTCGGGTGATACACAAAAACCCACTGTAACTAGTGGTGAGATAAGATCCCTATGAGGTTGCCAATACAATTAACTTAGGTATTGCAGATGACTAACAATCAACAAAGTAAGATATATTGAAATGTTTCCTGAAAACAATTATCTTCCTATGTTTAAAAGTTGCCCTACAGGACTCCCATACTAACCTATACCTATATAGATAGTTTTATGTGCTTTTTTAAACCTCTTATATGGCATTACTTTGTCATTTTCACAAACTATCTATGTAATGTTATTGTGTATATTTTTTAAATCACAATTAATTACTCATTAATTACTTATTAATACTTATTAATAAGTATATTCAATTACTGTAGGTGTTGGTGCTGGCACACACATTTCACCCAAAATACATTCTGCATTCTTCACAGATAACATGATCCAGTGCACTACTCACCCTCCCTCTGCAGTATTTGCCAGTGTCCAGCCAACCAGGCTTTCTGGGAAGCATACAGGATGGTATAGTGTGTAACCACCACATTGGGCTCTGTGGGCTCCCTCCAGGACACGAGGGCAGTGTCATCCTCGATCAGAGTTACTCGCACTCCTTCAGGTGGGCGGCTTGGTGCTGTACACAGAGCAACGGTATTCATAATCAACAAAACTTGCAGAGAAATTTACTGAGAAATTGCAATGCACAGAAAGCAACATAGTCATGACAAAATAATGTTACAGTAATGTCTAATGTATTACCTGCTGGCAGAGTTCGATGGTAAACAACAGAGCTCCAGGGACTGGACATCTGGTCCACATGGAGACGCACAACAAACTCATAGCGAGTGTTTGGATCCAAATTCTGAACCACCACATTCTGTTTGGTACTGTGGACAAACAACATTCTTACATTAAGGATACTGACAATAATCCAGAGCTGCATCCTGTATAAATTGTGCAACTGTAGAGAAGTTAAATCCCTATATCATCATTACAAAAAGTTAAAAAGAGACAAAAGAACAATATCCACATCTTTTGTAAACATGCAGTGTAACATAACGTAAATACTTAATACATTTTTATTGATTTTATTTGTCATGCCACAAGCAAAATACAAAATTTTCTTTGGTTCTCAGCTTACATTTGTAGGTAGCGTATAGCAGAAGCGTTGTGGGTGCCCACAGGTGTACAACGGACTGTATAGCTAACAGCCTTTTCAGAGGGGAAAGCAGGACGGCTCCAGCGCAGGGACACTGCAGACGAATTGTTGGCCAAGACAGTCACGTGGTCTGGAGGTGGTGGGGATGCTGCCGGTTGGTCTCTAGTCGCTGAATGATGCAAGAAAAATACACATTTTCATCTCATATCTCTATTGAAGAAAAAGTATTATAGTAGTATAGTATGCATTTAATTTTAAATTAAAAGACTTTTGAAATAAACAATAGAGAAGAGTACTTACACACACATCCTGGAGTACTGATTGTTTGGTCTGTCTGATAGCCATGTCCAGCTTGACTGACAGCCAGAATCTTAACATGATACTTTCTTCTTGGATCTGGAATACAAATTATACATTTTCAGTCATTTTTACCCCTGTCACTAAAACAGAAACTGAACCTTTGTCATAATTGACTTTACAATAATTTTACAGAGCAGCTCTTTCTCAAATGAA